TAATAATAATAATAATAATAATAATAATAATAATAATTTCAAATTATTGGATTCTAAACTGAAACAGATCCAACCGACTTTGTCCACAAGGAATAGGTGAAGTTATTCACTGTGCATCACAGACTGTTCTAGGATATAATTGCTGTCTTTTAACTTCCACAGATAGACAGGGGATTTTATAGCTTTCCCATACTCTGCTTCCTGCCTCTTAAAGATTTACAGAGCAGAAATTTGATTAGACTGTTTAAATCATCAAAATCATCCATTCACTACTATCTCTTCCTGTAATGAATAGCATAACTTTATTGTTCTTCAGTAGTAAGATATCAAAATAAAAAGTTCAATAGATCACTTTGTTCCAAGAAATGGCTGCATTCCAAATGTATTCTGTTTTGAAAAATCTGCTAAGTTGTTACTCACGCATGCTACTGCCAAGTGAGAAACTGATATTGTGAATTGTTTGGGTGATGTGAGAGGTTTCCTTGCATATTGTGAGAGGATACACAAAAAATGTGTAGAGGGGAGGTGTTAGCATTGTAGTGCTGGGAATTGCATCTTCTCTGTTCTGTATGGAATAATGTTTGTTGGCAAAACTCCACTGCATCTATACAGTTTACTTTACTCAGGGGAGTGTCTCTAATATTTATGACATCTCCCTTGTTCTCCGCATTATCCTAGTTGCTGCTTCAAGGAAAGAAGCCATTTGTTGCTTTTAAAACCCAGTGGATTCATGTAACTTTTGAACAGCAAAAGTAACAGAATGATGGAATATGCAGAGTCGTCACTATAACATACTTTGTGAAGCTTATAAAAACAACATGATCCAATTAACATCGGAAACACAAAGAACTGAGGTACCACATGCATTACAAGTGGAAGAAAACAGATATAACAACTTGGGTAAGGATAGTGAAAGAACAGAGATGGGGGAAAACCCAAGCAATACAGAAACGAACCTTACAATAGCATGTGTGTTACCAAAAGACAGTGCTCTGGCAAAACAACATATAGTAAGCACTGCTAATGATCATGAAAGGAGCTATACAAAAAAGCATAACCTGGTACAGCAGGTATCTCATAGAGCAGTACGAAATTTGTTGCCACCTGAGATGGATAAGATAATGGAAATAAATAGTGCAGGAGTTTATAAGACTACCGCAGAAGTGCACAGAATAAAACAATCAGATATAAATCCCTCCAAGAAAGCCCAGGATATAACATATAAGTCTACACCAAATATCCCTGGGCCTAAAAATAATTGTGTCTACAAA